CGCTTCTAGTGTATCCGGAACTTATTACCCTGTGTTCTCTAGCTTAGGCATAGCACCTGTGTGTAGTACACAGACCCCTGCTGCGTCAGAAGTAGGACCGTTTGATTTGTCTAGCCTAGGCTCTCCCCTTGCTCCTCCTTCGTCTGCGACTACTGCTTCGCTGTCCTTCACGCTCGACTCGGGTGCGTCTGCCTGCTTCTTCCGCGACCACGCCACGCTCGCTGCCCCTGCCACTGTCGCCCTTGGTGACCCCTCTTTTGGTTCTGTTGTTTCTCACAGCTCCACTACCCTTCCCTGTCCAGTGGCCCCCTCGGGTTCCCTTATAGGTCTGCATATCCCCTCATTCTCCAAGAACTTAGTTGGTGTCGGCTGTCTTCAAAACCTCGGCGTCACCACTACGTTCCTTGGTCATGAGCAGTACACTGCCTGTACCGAGGTCACCTCAGGTGCCCCCCTAGCGACGTTCCCCTAGGACCCGGTGTCTGGCTTTTTTACGCTGGACACTACTTCCCCCCAGTGGGCGCGTCCTCCCCGGGTCCTGCGTCTACCCAAGTCCTTGCGGCCTGCTCGTGTTGGTCGCTCACTCACCCGTTGCTTCTGTGGCACCACCGCCTAGGTCACTCCGCACTCCCGCGTCTGCGTCACATGTCTCAGCACGGTCTAGTCCTCAGTCTCCCTGCATCGCTTCCTGCCCTCCCTCCCTCGCCTGTGCCGCCATGCACGCCCTGCGTCAAGGGCTGGCTGCGCCATGCTTCTCACTCCTCCTCGCTTCACCCTGCCACCGCACCCCTCCAAACCCTGCACCATGACGTCTGGGGCCCAGCCCCCATCCCTGGACCGCGTCGCGAGCGCTACTTTATCGTGCTCGTCGACGACTTCACGCGCTACACCATGGTGTTTCTCCTAGAGCGGAAGGCCGATGTGCCTGACGTTCTTATCCCATGGTTTGTAGCTGCATGCCTCCACCACTGTCTCTCTGTGCTGTGCCTCCACTCCGACCGTGGCGGTGAGTTCGGCTCTGGTCGGCTTGGTCAGTTCTGTCGTGCAGAGGGCATCACCCAGTCCTACGCTCTAACGGACTCCCCGCAGTAGGTTGGGGTCGCTGAGCGACGCATCGGCTTGGTTATGGAGGTGGCTCGCACCTCCATGATCCATGCCAGTGCACCCCATTTTCTCCCCCCTGCAATGGTGGAGTGCTCAGGAGGTAGCCGTGGTGCAGCTGGCGGTTTAGGTGTCAGCGTCGAGCAGCTGCAACAGCAGTCGCCGCCGGTGTCCGCCCTTCGCCATCTCGGCCTTCCCTCCCCTGACCGCACGCCTAGGCCTCCCCCGCCGCCTCCTCCTCTTCCTGTCTACAGCCCTGTGTTTCCTCCGCAAAGCTCATCACTAGCGCATCTTCCCCATCGTTCCCTCATGTGTCTCCTCCTCTGTCCCCTGACCCAACGCCTTCCTCTCACATTTGGTCTCGTCGTCCCTCTCGTGCTTGTCTTGCTTCTCCTATTCAGCGTTCTCACCCTGTGTTGCTTCTTTCCCACACGTCTCGTCCTCCCCTCCTACCTTCGCCTCCTCCGTCGTCGCTCGCTGTCGCGCCTCCCTGTCACAAGATCGAATGAGGTTTGCTCAATCTTTTACAATCAATCAGTACAAGGTGCTTTTTCCTTACAAAGTACGTAAGGTAACGAGGTTTATCCTATCCAAAAGGAATAGACCCTTCTAGAAATAGAATCACCATGCGTATAGCCATGCGAGGCTATTGGCTTTAAGGGACTACGGCAGGATTACGCTAGATATAACGCGCCAGTACATTCCAAACCTGGTCGGTGATATAATTATACTAAGAGAATAAGCTAAGGGATGAAGGAAAATGAGGAAAAGGAAACCAAATGAGATGAGATAAAGACCAAATAAACTAGGATATAAAGAGGAAAGAAATGGAAAGGAAGTATGGAAAGGGGAAATTGGTGTAACAAGGTCGTACTCTCACACTCCCCCTCTGTCTGACTACCTTCGTACCGCTCGTCCTCTTGTTCCTCGGGTCCTTGCCTCCCTCGTTACCAACCCGTCTATCCGTGTCTCCAGTCTTGACGCTCTTGTCGCCGTTGTCGCTGACTTCGCCTCTACCAACCACCTTGACCACGCCACCGCTCTGGTCTCTGACCCTGCCTGTCCTCCGTCCGTCGGGGGTGCGTCTGCCCTTGGTAGTGACGTCCTAGAGGACAGACAGTACGAGCTTTCTTTCCTGTCTTAGGCTGCTCCCCATCTCTATTCTATGCTGCTAGTCCCTGAGGGTGACCCAGACGCCTTTGATATCCCGACCCCTCGCACTTACGCTGAGGCGACCTTGGGACCCCGGGCCTCACAGTGGATAGCTGCCATGGAGCAGGAGATGGCATCTTGGAGATCCACCGACACCTACGTCGACGCAGTTCCCCCACCTGGGATGAACGTAGTCGATGGCAGGTGGCTCTTCAAGGTGAAGTGCCCCTCAGGAGAGCCGCTTGATTTCAAGGTGCACTACGTGGCTAGAGGCTTCAGCCGGCGCGAGGGGGAGGATTTCTTTCAGACCTTCGCCCCGACCCCAAAGATGACTACTCTTCAGGCACTGCTATACGTAGCAGCACAGCGTGACTACGAGTTACACTCCCTTGAATTCTCCACAGCGTTTCTCCAGGGCAGCCTACATGAGCAAGTCTACCTACGCCGATTGCAGGGCTTCACGAGAACCTTCCCTCCTGGGACCCAGTGGCTACTCTGGCGCCCGGTCTATGGCCTGCGACAGGCACCCCGTGAGTGGCACAACATGCTGCATGCTATGCTAGCTGATCTGTAGTTCTTTCCGTCCTCTGCAGACCCCTCGCTCTTCGTTCGTGCTGGCCAGAATCTGTTCTACATCCTTGTCTACGTAGACGACCTGGTCTTCGCTACTACAAACAGAGATGCACCGGCCTCTGTGTAGGCCGAGCTGCTGAGGAGACACACCTGCACTTATCTAGGAGAGCTGCGCCGCTACCTTGGTCTGCAGATCTCCAGGGACAGAGCAGCGCGCACCATCACTCTCACCTAGTCACACTTGGTGCGCCAGGTCCTTCAAAGGGTCGGTCTTCATTTCTCCTCCGCACAGCCCACACCTCTGCCAATAGATCACAGGCTCTTGGCTCCAGTTCTTGAGGAGTCAGTAGAGCCTAGTGGTCCTTACGCAGGGTTGATGGGTTGCCTCTTGTACCTGATAACTTGCACTCGTCCAGATCTCGCATACCCTCTCAGCATCCTCGCTCGCTTTGTGGCCACAGGCATACACCGACCACAGCACTGGTCAGCCGCTAAGAGGGTTTTGCATTATCTAGCAAGTACATCGGGCATCGGGCTAGTGCTGGGAGGACGAACGCAAGTTGTCCTTACAAGGCACACAGACGCTTCTTGGGCAGACGACGCTGAGACCCTCCGGTCCTCCCAGGGTTACTGCTTTAGCCTTGGTTCGGGTGCCATCTCGTGGAGGTCCAGTCGCTCCTCGTCTGTTGCCCAGTCTAGCTGTGAGGCTGAGATCTACGCCGGTGCCATGGCGGCACAGGAGCTCCGCTGGCTGACCTTCTTGCTCACCGACTTTGGTGAGCGGCCTAGCTCTGCCCCAGTTCTGTACGTTGACGACATGGCCATGATCCTCCTGTGTCAGGAGCCTAGACTTGAGGGCAAAGCGAAGCACAAATAGCTGCGGTACTTCCTCATGCGCGAGCTACAGCAGCTTCGCCAGGCCCGCGTAGTACACTTGGCCTCCGGTGCCAACACAGCTGATATCTTTACTAAGGCGCTTCCGCGTAGAGATCATCAGCGGCACTGTTTGTAGCTTGGTCTAGTTCGTGTAGACTCTCACTTGCTAGGACCTTGATTGTGTACTCCTCTTTATATATATCTTTCAGACGGGCCTTGTGGCTCCTCTTCCAGTGGCCGGAGTAGTTGTGTCGCGCTAGTTTGCTCTTGTCTTGTTTGTACTCTTGCTAACTGGTCTTCGGACCCCTATCTCAGAGGTTGGACTAGTAGTGCCACCCTGAGCTGTGTGCTTCTTGCTCAGCACTACCCCTTATCTAGCCTAGGGGGGGTGTCAACTTATACATACATTTGCACGTAGAAGTTATAGGCTAGAATAGGTGTGTGTTCTTAGAGAGTACAACCCAAACCCTATATCTCCCTAATTCTTGTTGTGATAAAATTGTACTTATGCATTTCTGTAAGTAGTTCCGATAGATATTGTCGAGTTACACTGTAGTTAGCATCGGTAGAATGACGTCAGCAAATAGCGCTCGTCTGGATGATTACGTCAGCAGGCCGTTTCAGTCACGCGAACAGTCGCGCTCTTTTCAATAGCGGTTAGAGCGCATAGCGCAAATAGTTTTGAACCAGTACATTATTGAATAGGTACTTTTACTAGGTATAAGAGTAGTTTGTATGACTTCAATTATCAACTTGTTCTTGAGTAAATTATGGTCAACATTTACAAGTTCTAAGACTTGCGGTATTACTAGTCTACCATTCGAGCAAAGATCCTTGTTTAAGTCTTGAAGTTTCACAAGGCTGTTACACTGATTCTGGTGTTACAACTTGTTACTCGAGGTACTACCAGAATTTCTTTCTATTTCTAGTACTTGTGTCTGCAGATTCTATACTTAGTCTCTTGCACCACTAGTCAAATTCTTTCATGGTATAGGAGCTGTCTGGAATTAAGACTATCGTCAATTCTACAAATGAGTGGACCATCACCAGCTCCAACATCTGGCTCTTCAACAAATGGACCTACGGGTATCACAAACCCTACAGTCTTCATAGGCCAAGCAGGTGACTCTACAGCGGAAAATTTTCCAGCTGCTTATTCTTCAATCGGGACGCCTCAACGGCAGCAAGTTTTGCCTACTGTGCATCCACCGGGGACTTCGTCCTCTGCACCTGCAACATCAGAGCAACAAGCAGCAGCATCAGTAATAGCGGCCTTAAGTGGTATGAGTATTGATGGTTCCAGCTATGCAAGAGCTACAGCCGCTCCAAGCTCCAGTTCTTCGTTCGCGTTTACACCTGCTCAACATCAACAAGTTCAATTTCTTCAGCAACAGCAACAAGCACAACAACAGTTTCAGCAACAACAGCAAAATCAACAACAACAGCAACAACAGCAACAACAACAGCAGTTTCCGCAGCAGCAGATTTCTTTTACTAGACCTGTTTTTCAGGCTCCAAATCTTTCAAGCAATAGGCATATCAAGACAACAATACCTTTTAATGGCGCTGAGTTCGAGTTCCATGATGGCCCTTACACAGCGCTTACACAGTTCTTCTCCGCAATCTGTCGTTGAAAGAGCAGCTCGGTATACGCTCGCTTCACACCAGCTTGACTCCGACTGAATCTTGTTAGGATTAAGGACAGAGTCTAGGTGAACTTAGGAGCTAGAATTACTCAAAATATAAATCCGAAATTCTGGACAGAAAAGTCGTCTTCACAAGAAACGACGTCGACAAAACACTAGCCGTTGGAATGTCGCGAAACTTGGATATGTTGTAGCTCTTGATCTCAGCTACCGTTCCCAATTTGAATCACGTTGATTGATGAAGTATTCGCGACGCTATGGCTTTCGACGCACTAGGGGGTAAGCTGTAGGAGGAGAACTTAACTCAATCTCAAGAGTTCAATGAAAGTTCAAGAATCTCACAAGGAATTTAGAGGAGCAAGAGAAAGGTTGGGATAGAAGAGAGGGATGAGAGGGAAGGTCCCAAGAGAGTCCCCAACCAAGGAAACCCCATAAGCACAAAGATTCCCTCCCTATAGGAACCCCAACTTTGACATTTGTCCCTTCCCAACCAATCCATCCAAGTTGGCCACCCTTGCCAACCTAGCTTGGTTGTTCCCAACCAATTTGCAGCTGTTACAGTAGAGTGACGAATTTCCCCAACCCCAAAGGTCCCAACTCCATATAAAGTCACCCCACAACTTCACTTTGTAACCGCCGCAATTGTAACGCAAGCTCATGAACTTTGAATCTTCATAGCTTTCGCGTTCTTGCTCCGATTGACGCGATTCTTGTTGCGTCGGAAAGATCTTCTCAAGATCTATCATCACAAATACCTGCTCAGACAGAATAACACAAAACACATTCCCAAACTCCAGAACACACACCACACAAATTCTTTCACACACAGTCAAACCATACGTGCGAATTGAAACAAGGGATGGGAGGCAGACAGAATGTGATAACATATGATGACATCACACAACAATCTCCCCCTCTGGCTGCCAACCATCAACCACCATACCAACATCTCAAGCATGCATACTCAATGCACACTCATCCCAGCAAGCTTCATGCCCTTCCAATGATCCGCCTCCGCCAGACGCTTGGTGAAAATATCTGCTGCCTGCTGATGGGTCTTCACTATCTCCAGCCGCACCTCCTTATCAAGGAGTCTCCTCACCCAGTGCCACTTAGGCCTTATGTGTTTTGTCAGCCCATGCAAACAAGCATTCTTGGCGAGCTTCACAGCAGACTCATTGTCACAGAACACAACTGTCGGCTCCTCCTGACCAACTCTCAACTCCTCCAACAAACGCCTTAGCCACACTACTTCCTTGGCCCCATGGTGTAAGGCCATGTACTCAGTCTCACATGAGGACAATCCCACCTCATTCTGCTTCTTGCTGCGCCAGCTCACAGCACCACCTCCTAGCAAGCACACATAACCCCCAATGCTGGTGCCATCCGCTTTCACTGAGTTGAAGCTAGCGTCAGTATAGCAACTCAAGAGCATCTCACCACTCTTCACATCTGCAGCACCTCTCTGCAACCGCTGCCTCACTCCACTGTACTCCAATCCCACTGATGCCGTAGCACTCACATAGCGGACCAACCTCTTGGCCGCTTCCAGCTGCTCATGACTAGGGCGTGAGACCACACTAGCCAACCGTGATGTAGAAAATGCAATGTCAGGCCGTGTATGATTTGCAGCATAATTCAGCGACCCAACCATCGAATGAAACAGCTTCCTGTCACTCTCACCCACTACCTCCTCATCAGCACATGGCTCCACAGTAAACCCTGAAGGTAGTGGTGTTGCTGGCTTTCCCCCATCTTGCAGCCCATACTTCTCAGCCAGCCCCTCACAGTACTTCCTCTGGTGCAACCTCAGCACACCCTTCTCCACATCTCTCTCCACATGCATCCCCAAGTAGTACTTCACCTCACCCATCTTGGAACACTTGAACTGCATCTCTAGCATCTGCTCTGCGCTGTCCAGCAAAGCAGTTGATGCAGAAAAGAGAAGGATATCATCCACGTACACCAAGAGCATGAGGATTTCATCCTTCTCCTGCAGCAGGAACAGGCTGGGGTCACACTCACTCTTCTTGAAACCCCCAGCCAGCAGCGCCTCCTCCAACTTGTGATACCATGCACGAGGCGCCTGCTTAAGGCCATAGATGGCCTTCTTCAGCCTGCAGACCCTGCCGCTCCCATCATCCAGCCCCTCTGGCTGCTTCATATACACCTCCTCCAGAATGATCCCATTCAGAAAGGCAGTCACAATGTCCATCTGCCGTATCTTCCATCCCAGGAGTGCAGCTATCGCCAACAGCACCCTCAGTGTTGTTCCTTTCCCCACAGGAGCAAACACCTCATCATAGTCCTTCCCTTTTGTCTGCTGAAACCCCCTTGCCACAAGCCTAGACTTGTATCGGGTCAGCTCCCCTTCAGGTCCATACTTGTGCCTGTAGATCATCTTGGAAGTGATTGCCTTCTTTCCAGGAGGCAAGTCACACAGGTCCCATGTCTCGTTCTCAATCAGGGACCCAAACTCCTCATCCTCACTCGCCTTCCACTTCTCCCCATTTGGTCCATTCAAGGCCTCTTCTCGAGTCTTGGGCTCAGGGATTGGTGCCCAGTAGCAGTGAGCGATCTCATCTTCCTCAATCTGCTCAACCACACTCCCAGCCTGCACCACATTCGGCTTGCCTCTTCCCCCATAGGTCAGCCTCACTGGAGGGCGCACATCCCTCCTAGGACGCTCAGGCGGGTGTGGAACTCGAGGTGGAGATTCATGCTGCTGCTGCTGCTCCACCTCAGCTGCTCCCCCTTCCTCAGTCACCCCAGACATCTCCTCCTCTGACACTGCAACCTCCACCTGTCTTGAAGGCTGCTGCAACTCATCTGCCTCCACAATGAGTGGTGTAGATGGAAGCTTCTGTTGCTGCTGCTTCCATTCCTTATAGTACAGGGACTCAAGAAACTTCACATCCCTTGACACTGTCAGCTTCTGGGTGGTCAGGTCCCATAGCAGCCACCCCTTGTGATCCTTTGCAATCCCCAAGTGCACACCCCATCTTCCAGAAGCCTCCAACTTCCCCCTTTTCTCCTTGGGCACATGAAACACCACCATGCACCCAAATGCCCTCAGCATGTTCACCGCTGGAGCACTCCCATACCACTTGGCATATGGGATCCACTCCTTATCTCCAACTGTAGCCAGCACCCTATTCTTCACAAGGGCGACCTGCCTCAGTGCAGACACCCAAAACGGATCAGGCAGCCCTGCACGCCCAAGGAGAGTGCGTGCCCCCTCCTGCAGGGTCCTGTTGAACCTCTCAGCCACGCCATTCTGCTGTGGGTTGTAGGGCACTGTCAGTTGATGCTGGATCCCCTTCCTCTTCAACTCCCCCTCAAAATCAGCTCCAATGAACTCCCCACCATTGTCACTACGGATCACCTTCACCTTGTGTCCGCATTCCCTCTGAGCTCTCGGCATCCACTCCTTAAGGACAGCCGCTGCCACCTCCCCCTTGCTGTTCAAAGGGTAAACCCACACTGCTCGAGTGTGGTCATCCACAATTGTCAAGAAATAGCGGCTGCCTGAGAGGGAAGGGGCTCTTGTGGGCCCCACCACATCCATGTGCACAAGTGCAAGTGGGGTCTTGGCTGGTCCTGTAGTGCTGTTGAAGGGGAACTTGGAGAACTTGGTCTCCAAGCATGTAGGGCAGCTCCCAATCTCCTTCACTTCCCCTTTCACCTCCAAGCCCTTCAGGCTCCCATTCTTCACCAACTTCTGCAGCATAGGGAAGTTCACATGACACAACCTCTCATGCCATGTCTCCCAATCGGCCTCTCCACTCCTTGATGAAGCCTTAGCCCATGCCGCACTCGCATCCACACCAGCAAGCACCTCACCATGTGTCTGCTGCTTCTGCACTTTCTTGACTGCTTCCAGCACCCCATCAGTTGGTGCAGTTGCATCTCCTCCTGCTGTTGCCTTTGCCGCTGCTGCCGTTGCTGCTGTTGGAGTCTTCCCATTCCAAGGGATGATGGGCAGCTGCCACAGGTCCTTGATGCAGCTGGTCTCCTCTTCCAGACTCCACAGCACCTTCTTCCCAAGCTTAGCACGGCAGCTGGTTGGTCCAAAGGTCACTTCGGCCTTACTCTTCTGCAGCCGCCGCACAGAGAGAAGGTTAGCAGACAAGCCTTTAACCAGCAGAACATTCCCAAGCCCCACAAGCTCCCCATTAGCTCCCTTAACCTTGGCATTCCCAACACCAATCACGGGGAGCAAAGCACCTGACGCTGCTGCCACATACTTAATCTTCCCAGGGGGTTTTACCTCATCAAGCAAATCTGCCCGTGGGGTCATGTGACTGGTGCAACCCGAATCAATCACCCAGTGCGTGAGAGGGTGCATCACAACCTTTCCCACAAATCCCACATCACCCTCATGCCCATGCACATCCTCAACCATAAGAAACAAACCAGGATAGGCATTACCTTGTGCACCTTCACCTTGTGCACCTGAGCCTTGCACAGCGCCACCTTGTGCGCGTTCACCACTGGGCGGCTTCATGCCTGGAGGTGCCCATCCCTCCAGCCTGCTGAAGCACTTGAACCAAGGATGCCCAACCTTCTTGCAGTACCAGCACGTGCCCTCCATTCTGGTACTCCCCCTGCCACTAGAGCTCCCATGCCCCTCATTATAGTCACCTCGGCCTCTACCTCTGCCAAAGCTCCTCCCACGGCCTCGGCCTTTCCAACCCCCTCTTCCTCTGCCGCGCCCTGCAGCTCCATACCCCTCAGCAGTCTTAGTGGCAGCACCGCCTCCCACATGGCGTCTGCGGAAGTCCTCCTGCAGAATCTGCTGCCTTAGCCACTCAGGTGTCCATTGATCTTGCTGAGAGTTGAGGGTGGGGATGAGGTTATCCCACGAGTTGTCCAACACCGAGATGATCTTGGTGCACTGCTGCAGCTGAGATACACTGCTGCCCGCTGCTGCCATCCTTGCATAGGTGTCCTTGATCTTGTCAAGGACCGGCTTCACATCGTCCCCTGGTCGCATGGAGATGGCAGCAAGTTCCTTCTCGAGCACGATCACCATCGGGAGAGTGTTGGGCTGAACCACATCACGTAGTAGTTTCCACGCCCTTGGACCCGAATCATCCGCTTCCACAAGATCCTTGATGTGCTCGAACATCTCCTTGTTGACCGATTGAAGAATGAGGTCGAAAAGCACCGCGCTTTTCTCAATCCACCGTTCACGTGCTTCGCCTTCTTCCGGCATCTTCTCTTCCCCAACAGCAATCTTCAGGAGCTTGTAGCGTTTGAAGGCACTCCTCATCCGTCCGCTCCATTCCTCATAGTTGGAGCCATCCAAAGCTTCAACTTTTGATGGCGGCGGCTCACTTGTCTTCTCAGCTACAGCTCCTCTTCCATTAGCATCTCCTCCTCTCTCATTCATCTTCTCCTTGAGAAATGACGAATTTCAGCTCCCCTTTGCTGTCCACACTCAGCTCCCTCGATATTTTCACAAGTGTCGGCGTCCACGAAATTTCGGCAGAGTTTCCCCTTAGCGGAAGACACATCCAACCTTTAGAACACCACTTAGGCACACCCACAGGCCATGGTGGGTCTAGAAGGGTCTTCACACTTCTGTAGACTCCTCTCAATGTCCTTAATATCGCTCTGATACCACTTGTTAGGATTAAGGACAGAGTCTAGGTGAACTTAGGAGCTAGAATTACTCAAAATATAAATCCGAAATTCTGGACAGAAAAGTCGTCTTCACAAGAAACGACGTCGACAAAACACTAGCCGTTGGAATGTCGCGAAACTTGGATATGTTGTAGCTCTTGATCTCAGCTACCGTTCCCAATTTGAATCACGTTGATTGATGAAGTATTCGCGACGCTATGGCTTTCGACGCACTAGGGGGTAAGCTGTAGGAGGAGAACTTAACTCAATCTCAAGAGTTCAATGAAAGTTCAAGAATCTCACAAGGAATTTAGAGGAGCAAGAGAAAGGTTGGGATAGAAGAGAGGGATGAGAGGGAAGGTCCCAAGAGAGTCCCCAACCAAGGAAACCCCATAAGCACAAAGATTCCCTCCCTATAGGAACCCCAACTTTGACATTTGTCCCTTCCCAACCAATCCATCCAAGTTGGCCACCCTTGCCAACCTAGCTTGGTTGTTCCCAACCAATTTGCAGCTGTTACAGTAGAGTGACGAATTTCCCCAACCCCAAAGGTCCCAACTCCATATAAAGTCACCCCACAACTTCACTTTGTAACCGCCGCAATTGTAACGCAAGCTCATGAACTTTGAATCTTCATAGCTTTCGCGTTCTTGCTCCGATTGACGCGATTCTTGTTGCGTCGGAAAGATCTTCTCAAGATCTATCATCACAAATACCTGCTCAGACAGAATAACACAAAACACATTCCCAAACTCCAGAACACACACCACACAAATTCTTTCACACACAGTCAAACCATACGTGCGAATTGAAACAAGGGATGGGAGGCAGACAGAATGTGATAACATATGATGACATCACACAACAAATCTGCGTGGAAGCATTTGAAGGGGCTGTATGTGGCACAGGACACCATTTCCGTGAGTAAAATTCTCTCACAACTGACAACTGCACAGATGCAGGGCAACGAGAACGTTTCAAATTATATCAAAAGGGCTCGAACACTTCGTGACCAATTGGAAAAATGCGGCGGATACTTCCCAAAGGACATGTTTATAACATTTTTTCTTGCCGGCCTTGGACCAGAATGGCGGCAGTGTCGATCTCTTCTTCGCATTCAACCAAATCTTTCCGAAGCCAAAATTTGTTCGATTTTTCAAGTTGAGCAGCAGGACCTTGACCTGCAAACAGCACGTAACAAAAAAGGAGCAGTTAATATCAGTTTCTATTCAACACCGGCAAAACGTGTCAACAAGTTCTTCTGTAACTACTGCAAAAAGGATGGACACTGCATCAAATATTGCAACAAGCTTCAAGCTCATAAGAAACGTGGAGCACAGCAGTAGTCGCAGCAGTTCAAGCAACCCGTGAAGCAGAATCCACCAACAACAACTCCTGCCACATCAGGAAAACAGGTTTTTAGCTGTGTTACAACAGTTCATGCAATAGATTCAGATTTCGATGATGAGGAGGAAGAAATTTTCATCGAGCAACCTGAGAACATGATCAACAGGACACAAAGCAACAGAGGATGTATGGCATTAATGGTTAGGTCATCCTTCTCCGAGGATTCTTAATCATACTATACGAGCTTCAGTTCTTGACAAGAACAGCTTGCTTTTACCAGATTGAACTGAGATGAAGCCATCTTCACGACCAGTAGTCCGCACAATGTGCACAACTGCTAATCTTCCTCACGAACTATTTCCAAGTCACTTTCCGGGATCGACTCGTTACACACTTATGAAGAAAGTCTACAGTGACATACTCAACTTACCTGAAACATGACCTAAGGGGGAGCTCTATATGATCTCCTTTATCGAGGCTTCTACTTGATGTTGGTCGGCAAATATTTCGGCTCGTCATATGGCTCACTCTATCTTCGTCGCGTGGCTCGCGGTGGCTGAAAGAGAATCGAAGGGAAAGCTTCAAGAATTTCAGAGTGACGGAGCAAGGGAGTATACGAACACCACATTCACTGGGTATCTTCAAACCCTATGCATCAAGCGCCGAGGGTCTCTGCCACATCAACATTAACAGATGGGGGTAGCGGAGAGGATGAACAAGACGTTATAAGAAAAGTTGCGCGTTTTGCTAACTCAAGCAGCATTACCACCACATTTTTTGACATACGCTTTGGACCATGCATTTCTTCTGCACAACTTGCTGTCGACAACTGCTCTTCCACAATTTCCTTCGCCACACCTGCAGTGGACAAGAACAGTTGGCAACACCAAACTTTTTAAGGGTTTTTGGGTGTATCGTCCAATACCGACCTCCGACTGCAGCACTCGGGAAATTTTCATAACGCGCTAAGTGGGAAATTCATCTTGGCATCGAGAAGCAATTTTATGCGTGGAAAATTATGGATCTTCGCACGAGTCAAATCGTACGAGCACGTGATTGTCTTTTCTACGAACGACTCACCTTACTTGTTTCTCGTGCTCACTAGGCTGCAGCTGCCAATCCTGCCAGGCTATTCGAAGGCTCGCGTGCTTTCGCAACCGACGAGGCCGAAGCAGATGTACAGGATGAATCTGTCGCTGAGTCTTTTGAAGCTGCCACATACATCCCTGTGCCAACCACATCATCTGGAACTGCCAAGTTTATTCCACTCAGCGAAGCAGACTCTGAAGATGTCAGCGATGTCGTTCTTAATTACGAACGTGATCGTCAGCAGCAGCCAATGCCCGTTGTCTCCGAAGCAGCTACCCGTGTAACACCTCAAGAAGTCGGGGGGGAACAGGGGTCAGAACACAACTTCTCTGGTGTCAACTCAAATCGTCCTCGTCTTACAAAAACTGAATTACAGGTATTGGGACTAGCGATCGCAGTACAGTCATACAGCAGTAAGATTCTGGAGCAGAAAATAGTTCGCCAAGCCTTGACAAGTCAACACAGGGAAAAATGGCGTGAAGCCATGGACCGAGAGTTAGCAGCTCTGGAAAAGAGAGGTACCTGGGATCTAATCCATCTGAAAGAAACAAAGGGGAGTAAGGTTCTTACCGGAAAATGGGTTTTTCGCGTGAAGACAATCGCCGATGGTTCCTTTGAAAAATTCAAGGCGCATTGGGTCGTCCGCGGCTTCAGCAAACTTTTGGAATCGACTACGAGTTAACTTTCGCTCCCGTCGGCAAACACACTAGTGTCCGCATCCTCCTTTGTATCGCGGCCTACCGGAACTGTAGACTTCGCCAAATCGACATCGCCAATGCATTTCTATATGCACCTGTCGACGCCTTAATTCTTGTTGAGTACCCGCATTCTTACGAAACTAACCCTCCCAGCGTATGCCGTCTCAAAAAGTCTCTCCGCGGCATCAAA